CAGTGAAAATTCAAGGTTTGAAGCATCTACTCAAGGGGAAACATTCCGGAAGTATCACCAAGTGAATCGCAACATGCATAAGCACCAAAAACAGTGAAAATTCAAGATTTGAAGCATCTACCCAAGAGGAAATATCACAGAAGTATCACCAAGTGAATCGCAACATGTACAAGCACCTACATCAGTGAAAATTCAAGGTTTGAAGCATCTACTCAAGGGAAACATCACGGAAGTATCACCAAGTGAATCGCAACATGCACAAGCACAAAAAACAGTGAAAATTCAAGGTTTGAAGCATCTAGTCAAGGGGAAACATCACGGAAGTATCACCAAGTGAATCGCAATATGTACAAGCACCGAAAACAGTGAAAACTCAAGGTTGGTAGCATCTACTCAAGGGGAAACATCAGGGAAGTATCACCAAGTGAATCGCAACATGTACAAGCACCTACATCAGTGAAAATTCAAGATTTGAAGCATCTACTCAAGGGGAAACATCACTGAAGTATCACCAAGTGAATCGCAACATGTACAAGCACCTACATCAGTGAAAATTCAAGATTTGAAGCACCTACTCACGGGGAAACATCACGAAAGTATCACCAAGTGAATCGCAACATGTACAAACACTTACATCAGTGAAAATTCAAGATTTGAAGCATCTACTCGACGGGAAACATCACGGAAGTATCACAAGGTGAATCGCAATATGTACACCCTCCCGGATTAGCAAAAATCGCAGTTTTGACAAGAAGGAGGAGGATGGAGGAGGGGGAGAGAAAGAAAGAAAAAAACAGGAAGAGGGAGAGGGAGAAGAAGAAGAAGAAGAAGAAGAAGAAGAAGAGGAGGAAGAAGAAGAAGAGGAGGAAGAAGAAGAAGAGAGGAGAGAGGAAGGAGAAAAAAAATGAGAAGGAGGGAGAGGAGGAAGAAGGAGAGGGAGGCCTTCCTCCTTTTCACTCACCTCTTGCTGGTCTCTAGGCAGTGGAGCCCCAATGCTTGGTTCTAACCTCCTGAGCGTGGCTTCTCTTCACTCCCACGTTCTCTCCTTTTTCCCTCACTTCTCTTTCTTAGCTATGACCGGCTCCTAGCTCTAAGGCTGTGGAGTCCTCCCCTCTAAGAGGGCTTTGGGGACCCCTGTCTCAGCCTTTCCTCCTACCTCACAGCTTGAGGGCTATGGCGGATCACTCTCCTTGCTCCCTCCCAGCCTCTAGATCTCCTTCCTCAGTCCTACCACCATAGTCAGGCTACAGGCTAGCTCCGGCCCTCACGCCCTTGCTTTTCTCCCACTTGGACTCTCTCCTGGACTCATTTGGACAGCATGGGCACCTCTCATGCTCAAATGAGAGTGGCGGCCTACACCTCCAGCTTATGTAGGCTGGAATAGGTGCACCGCCCCACCTCTAGGCTCCTCCAAGTGCCTCTAGGTGGCGGGAGGTACCCCAAGGGCCAAATTTCCGATTTTGGCCTACCAGGAGGTACCTGGGCCTCATTTTGGCCAGGTACATGCAGTTCGAGAGTCCGGTACCTCCTCAGACTACCCCTTGGCCTACCCCGGCCTCTTCTTACTTCAAAAAGTGCTGCCTTTTGGGGTACTTATCCCCAAAATGCAGCCTTTCCTGAGAATTGAGGGCCTAGAGGCCAATTTTTTATCTTTTTCTTAGTCTAGGCCTCTTTTGAGTAGGTCGTTGCATTTTCCAAGTGGCGGCTCCAATCTCAGCCTTGGATCTGGCTGAGATCCATGGTCCTCATCATTACGAGCCACTCCCAAGTTTTCCTTGCCCCAAATTTGAGCCTTTACTTCAATTTTCATTTTTTTTGATGTACCTGGCCCAAATCTTGGGCCAAATTCGCAGTTTTGTCTTGTTCCTCCCCTTGTTTTCCCTCCAATTTGCTGCCAACTCATTCTGGAGCTAGCCGTTTTGTG